CTTCTCCAGCTCCCAACAGTTTGTTGCTTCTGAATTAATCATTTTCATGGTCTTTGTTTAAAGAAGTGAATTGTTGCTTCAGTAGGAACAATGATGCTCTGTTACATTCTTTAGCCTCCAATGGTTAAAGGATCCAGAGGTTCGTCCTCTTTCTCTCCTCTCTGCCTCTCAGGTCAGCTGGGATCACAGCTCGTCAGAGCGCTGATGGGAGAGGGGGACAGGAGGGAGACAGGGTGGACCTGTCTACACAGCTTTTTAACCCCTTGACGCTCATTGTTGCCATGTTGCAACAGACACTCTGTATTACGTACACACCCAAGATTGCATTCCCCCAGTGCCAGTTATTACACATTCGGTGTGGACATAGGAACCTTTGGAAAGCTCTTGTTTCCATTACAACTGGTACCTAACGGTGTGTGCTATCATCGGCTATTATAAATGTCACAAATCTGCAAACCTTCAATTGTGTTTGTTGAAATATTTAAAAAAAACAGTTTGGCAATGAGTTAAAGGGAAATAACTTTTTTTGCAATCTCAGGCTGTATCCTTTTATGGATAAAGTTTGAAATACGACATTTCTTTCACTCCTCTTACCCATTGTGATCCTTTTACTGGAAGGAGGGATCCTTAATTCCCACAAACAGTATCTGCAAAACCCTTTGATGCGGTATTAAACTCTTGATCAACAACAGGGTGACAAAAATCATCTAAACTCATCTAAAGACCAACGATTAAATCCTTTTTTTTTAAACCAAATTAATTTAAAAAAGAGTCTTTTAGTGATATTCTAATTTATTAAGATGCACGATTTCACAGTAACAATGAATGTTAATAAATCGGAGGAATAAGGATGACTTTTACCAAATGAATAAATTATGACACACTGTGGAAAATATAAACTGCCTACGGAAAACTGTGATCATAGAAAAAAAGTTCAGTAGTCATATTAATAAAAATCAGTAGAACCGTAATAAAGCTTCACAGTATGGAAAGTGATTTTATGCATTTATCCTGTTATTCTTAACCATTAATTCAGGAAGAAAAAAAAAAGAAAAGAAAATTGAAATAAAACATAAAATGCCTTGGACGCAGGACTGTAATGATTGTCTTATACATTTCCATCCTTCTGTGTATCCTGTCTGATTTAATAAGCAGGTAAAACTTAAATTCTGCTATTTACTTTATTTCCTCTAACTCCTGATGGGTGTTTTTCTTCTCCGGGACTTTATGTTACTTAAAGTCTATGTGTTGTGTTTATAGTGAAATAAAACCTGTGCAGTGCTCAGTGGGAAACTGTTTGAATGTTGTCTTTTTTTTTTTCTTTTCTTCTTACAGTCAGTCATTAATTCGTTGTAATAGACATGTTTCCACTCAGTTGTCCTTTCTTCATTTCTAGCAATGCATCAGTTTTACAGGGAGATTAAAATTTGTGATGTAAGATGGCTGATGGAAAATTCTCTATTTTTTTTTACATTGTAGGATCTCAGGGAAACAGAATAATTGTGTGTGGAAGGTTACATTATGGAATATTTTCGGAATTCACACAGGATCTAATATATGTATAGCAACCAACACTACAGAGCTTTTCCCTTCAGAGTTTATTTGTAGTTGTTGGTTACCGTGCCATGGACGAGGCTTTTAAAGTCTTTTCTTTGTCAATAGGGTTTAAAGTCAGGGCTTTAGCAGAGACGTAATGTTTGTCTGCTTTCTTTCATGTAAAACTGGTTTGGCTACAATGTTCAGGAACAATCCAGGAACCATTAAGGCTCAAAACAATCAAAAAACAGAAGATGACCGAAACCAGTGTCAGTCTCCACAGAAGAGTCAGTTTAACATCAGCATGGACTAAGGCTGCAAACCAGGATGGAAGCTTCTCTTTCAAAATCAAAAATGTTTTGTGGAAAAACCCTTTAAAGGAGGCAGAAGAGACAAAGTTTGAGCCATTTGACTACAGTATAAAAGTATGATTTAAGAAGTCAAGTTTAATATTTCTAAACTGGGAAAGCTATACTATGTCAGGCATGGTGGTGGCAGCATCCT